TTGTAAGTGTAAAACGAATAAACACAAGATTTATACAAATTAGTGGTGAAGGGCCATTATGGATTAAATAGAAAAGTTGATACAAATTCTAAAAGAATTCATAATTAGTGGTTAGGTTATGAAATTAGTAAAAGTTGAAGAGTTGACAGTGAAACGAAATATTCATGGAATTTAAGGAATATTTTGAGAAGTTGAAAATTACGATGAAAGTACGATTTAGTTGTATATCAATTTAAGTATCGAATTTATTTTTATTGAATTTTATATTTAAGTTTAGATTATGTTAGTTCAATACTAACGAATAGTTTGAATATTCTATGTTATTATATGAAGTAATCAATCCACGGTAAATTTAGTGATTCAAGTAGCTTGAAAGAGAAGGAAAAAGCGTGGGATCGAGAAGATTATCGTGGAGAAGATTTGATAGTGAGGCAAATGTGAGCGCATTTCATTTTTACATATGTTTCGACCAAACATTGACTTGCGATGAGCCAGTGTCGAAGTTACGTTAAGAAGTGACTCATAGTGTTATGTGAAGTGTGATTCAAGTTTATATGTTTATTTAGCAAGCTAATAGAACTAGTAAGTCAAGGACATTGGTTGGTAAAACCTGTCTAGAAATTATATTTTGAACAGTAAATTTAGAAAATTATCAGAAATTCTAAAAAAATGATTAGATGATGAATATTATACCGTTCGATTCTTATATTAGTCTAGTTTCGTTTAAAACAAACGGAAACTAATTTTTAGAAGTATACAAAAAGATATAAATTTTTAATCACTTGACTCTACCCGAGAACAAGGGAACCTCCATCCGAGACCCGACCAAAATAAAATTTCACCCGACCCGACCCGAAATAATAAAAAAAATTATTTTTATTCAATAAAACAGTGACTTAATTGAAAATATATATAGAGAGGGGTATTATTGTAATTATTCCTAAATATATAATGTAAAATTATATATTTTTGGGTCGGGTCAGGTATTTTTCACCCTAAACCCGAACCCAGCCCGACCCGAATATCACACTTAAAAAAACCGACCCGACCCGACCAAAATAAAGTTTCACCCGACCCGACCCGAATATATGAATTAGAAATCCGACCCGACCCGAAATAATAAAAAATTTATTTTTATTCAATAAAAACAGTGACTTAATTGAAAAAAATTATATATAGAGGGGTATTATTGTAATTATTTCTAAATATATAAGGTAAAATTATATATATTTTTGGGTCGAGTATTTTTCACCCTAAACCCGAACTCGACCCGACCCGAATATCACACTTAAAAAAACCGACCCGACCAAAAAAAAGTTTCACCCGACCCGAATATATGAATTAGAAACCTGGCCCGACCCGAAATAATAAAAAAATATTTTTATTCAATATATGAATAAGTTACCAAAATATTGATGAGGGTAGTATGGTCAAATTTCAATTCCCTCCAACAAGGGAATTGAATTCCATCATAGAATTGATGGAATTCACTTTCCCTTATTTGATGGAAAGTTGAAGCCATGAGGGATTCCAATTCCCTTGGAAAACTTGAACCAAACATGGGAAAGTGGTGGAATTGGATTCCAATTCCCCCTAATTCAAAGGGATTCGTGCGAACCAAACGCCACCTTAACGTGTTTAATACCTAAACTATCAATTTTGGTCCGTTTTAGTACCTAAAATTTCAAAAAAAAATTCAAAAATTAACGTTAAATTTGAACAGAGTACTAAAATGAAATAAAAACTAAAGTTTAAGTATGGTTTTAAAAAATAGAAAGTTTAAGTACTAAATAGATTAAAATTGATAGTTTAGGTACTAAACCCATAGTTTACCCAAACATATATTGTATTGGGCCCACCTAATTCAGAAGTTTATGGGTTGCCACAACATTTAACCTTCGGAGAAAGAGAAGAACCCAGCTTTGGGACCAAATCTGCAACTATTATTTGTTACACTAAGCCCAAGTGCAGCAAGTCAGCAAACCTTGATAGACATAGTACAAGAAACCACATATTCTGGGTTAGACATGCATAACCCTGTCTGAATCCAATCCTTGTCCTTGCTCAACATTCCAACAAACTCAACATTAACTGCAAACTATATTGGGCACGACACGAAACCATTGCCTCCCCCACTCCCTACCACAATTGATAAAAAAGATGCACAAATCCCTCAAGGAACATGTTGTACAAACCTCAACCTTGTGTTACTTCAATCATGCATCTTAGGTAAGATTAAAACCATACTTGGTGTTGTCTTTGTGATTAAAAAATCAATGGTAAATTACGCGTTTAGTATCTAAATTATCAGTTTTGTTCCATTTTAGTACCTAAAATTTCAATTTTTTCAAAATCATACTTAAAGTTTAATTTTTGTTTTGTTTTAATACCACTGTTCAAAATTTAACGTTAAGTTTTAAAAAAAATTGAAAGTTTAGGTGCTAAATTGGACTATAATTGATAGTTTAGGTACTAAACTCATTAAGTTGTTAATGGTGGGTACTAAAATGAAATAAAAACTAAATATTAGGTATGGTTTTGAAAAATTAAAAGTTTAGATACTAAAACAAACTAAAATAAAATAAAACTGATAGTTTATGTACTAAATGCGTAGTTTACCCAAAAATCAAATGGAGTGGTTTTATTAGTGTACCGTCAAGCTCTATAGAAATGTACACATCAATACATTAATAAAAATGGGTGATTGACATGATAAAAGTAGGGCTTCCGTTTTCCATCATTTTGCTAATTAAGTTAAATGATGTCAATAATTTGGAACATGAATTGCCCACACTTTTCTTTTCACCTCTTAGGGATGGTAATTTGACCCGACTATTAAAAGTTACAAATTGATCATTCGATTATTCATTTTATGTCAAATGAATCCTTTTTTGTAAAAAAACTAACGACATTTTGAGTTGGATGTTAATATGATGTCTAAGTTATGATTGTCATTTGAGAATCTCGAATCAGATTTTATTATATCTCATACACTAGATTAACATCCAGCTCAAGTTGTCATCAATTGTTTAACAAAAAATGACGAATTTGGAATATTATAAATAGTCGGGTGACCATTTTATAACTTTTAATAGTTCGGGCTCAACAAAGTAATATCCTATATCCAATGGACCATTTTGTAACTTTTGATAGTTAAGAAATTCAACAAAACAACACCCTATAATTAGAGGACCATTTTTATAATTTACCCTAAAAACACTTACCCTTCACCAATACTAAATTATGTTATAATTAACGAAGTAAAGCCTCGAGCTCATAGGGATTTTGTCAGACATGATAATAAAATTATCTTCCAATATTTATCAAAATAATTATCTTAATTTTTAATCAAATTAGTTAGTATTGAATGAAAACAGTTAACTAATTAAAGATCGATACATATTATTGATATGATATGTTTCATATGTCATTAAAATATCGACGTGATGCATATCAAATTATTTAAAGTAATAATATGACATATGTTATGTCACTAAATAATGACATAACATATATCATGTAATTAATTAAGTACATCTGAAAATGATATATCAATAATACTTGTTAATCGTTAGTTAGTTGATATTCATCAAACATAGACTAATTTTATAAAAATTAAAATAAAATACTAAAAAAAACTAGAGTGATCATTTTATACAAAGATTAATTTTATCATTATAATTTTTATAATATTAAACATGATACAAACAATATATAAAAATAATTAAAAACAAAAAGGATATGAAATACAAAAACATAAATCTATATAATATAAGTCATTAATTTATCAAAAAAATTATAAATTATGACACTAAAAATATTCAACCCATAATACACCGCTGATTTCGGATTCAATCTATCAGTTACAACAACCACGCTAATACACAGAATTAAAGTTATAAGTATCAAATTACAAATTAAACTAAATTATATATATATATATATAGTGTAAAATTCTTTTAGTTTTATATCCTTTTAGGATTATTAAATTGAGGGAAACCAAAGGCTGAGATCAATTCCGTCGTTTTTTTCATCGAATATCTTCTCATTTTCTACTGTTATTAGCCTTTAATATCTCTAATCCGCTTATACACAGTGGAAAACCTTTAGTTTTATACCCTTTTAAAATCGTTGGACGATGAGAAATCAAAGTCTAAGATCAACTTTTTTTAAGTTAATATCTTATTATTTCCTGTTGTTAATCACAATATATATAGGGTTAGAATCTATTTTTTTGTTTCCCTTCTTGTTCCAAGGCTTCACCTTGACTAATTTGGACCGACATGCGTTGCACACCTGGTTTTAGTGGGTAAGTCTCCCAACAGGGGTTTTCTGCATACACAAAGACTCGAACTCGAATTGCTTAACGATATCAAGATGTTTATCACTTGAACCACCCCATGTTGGTAGGGTTAGGATCGATTTACACTCAGTGTAAAACTTAGTTTTACATCCATTTAAAATTATTGGGTAAGGAAAAATCAAATGCTGAGATTAATTTCTTATTATTTTAGTGAATATCTTTTCATTTTCTACTGTTAGTCATAACATTTGATTTTAGTCGTCCAACGATCCTAAAAAGGTATAAATTTTTTTAGTTTTACCCTATATAATGATATCCTAACCCATATATATATATATATATATATATAATATTCAAAAGCAATCTAAGAGATTAGAAGACAAGCACGAACCAAGTGACCTTTATAGTAAAGGAATTGTTGTTATTACTTAAAGACACAAGTTTAAACATCATAAACGTCAGATTTGTGAGCTTTCGATCTTAAAAAATTAAGAATTAACTTTGAATATATATTGCATTCTACTCCCCCATATTAAAATTTTTTTTAAGACACAAACCAAGCAATGGAAAATATAGATGGTAGGTCCCCTGGAAAAGTTTAATAAAGCAAAAGCATCTTTGTTTTAAGATGTAAACAAAAACATTAATCATGAATATGAATACAAAATTTTCTTCCTTGTTTTGTGAATACTCATTAACAACACTCTCTTTTGCCTTTTCATTTTTCTCTCTCCCCCTTTCACCCATCTTCTTTAAATATCCTCACTTTTCCCCATGAAAAAACAGAGAAAATTCCATGGGTAATTACAGGTTTAGATTATCGGACATGATGCCCAATGCCTGGTTTTACAAGCTTAAAGACATGGGCAAACCCAGAAACCAGAAACAACACCAGATTCCATCACCTTCTTCGTCGAAAACCAAACAGCCCCGCCATTTTCATCCCAGAAAATCTTATTACTTCACCAGAGAGCTTGTCCCGACCGATGGATTCTATGTTCCTCGTACGAAAGACGTCAAATCTGCAGGTTCTCATCGTGTACTTGATGATCCGCCAAGAAAATCTCGTCAGAAACGATCCAGGAGAAGAAACATCACCAAGTCTTCTTCTGATGATGATGATGATGTGAAGCTTGTTGGCTCCTCCGTTTCCGCCGGTTGTCGCTGCCGTGCAACGCTCTGGACCAAGACTGATTCTCCGCCGTCTTCCTCTTCTGACGGCAGCTCCCCGCCGCGAGAATTCAGGTCTGACTGTATTCTTACGACTCGATCGTTTGGTAACATGTTTTTCGTCGAGAAATTCGAAAAGCTAGACGAGTTCGACGACTTTTCCGAACTTCAACTCCCTCGGATCATAACCAAGCCCGTCGAATCCAACCAAAAGAAAGAACACAACATCCCAAGGACTTCAACTAAGTTCGAAGAAAACAATGTTCATGGTTCATACTCGTCGAAAGAAAACAAGAAAATGTCTCCGGGGAGAAAAACATGCGTGAATTCTCCTGGCGTAAGGCTGAGAATCAATTCTCCAAAAATCAAAACCCGAAAACTCCATGGTCTCGCTCGGAAGAGCGTGTCGTCAGGTTTGAATTTGAGTTTGAGCTCGAGAAAGAGTCTGTCGGGGAGTCTCGCGGTGGTGAAGTCGTCGTTCGATCCGCAGAAAGATTTCAGAGAATCAATGGTGGAAATGATTAGGGAAAACAACATCAGGGCATCAAAGGATTTGGAAGATTTGCTTGCCTGCTACCTTTCCCTCAATTCTAATGAATATCATGGTCTCATCATCAAGGTTTTCACGCAAATCTGGTTTGATTTGAATGATGCCCGGTTGAAATAATTTACCTACTAAACATAATAATTTACCTTGTCTATTTTGTCCCTTCAATCTTCTCTTGTAATAATTTCATTAACTTTCTTGTCATTTACTACTTGTTCTTAAAGCATCAACAATTTTACGGTTCCAAAGTTTTACCATAACTAATCTTACGTCTCACACTTGGCTTTAATTGGTTTAAGTGAACTTTCTCATTCAACATTAGTTGTTCTATATAAAAAAAATTCCCAAAAGACTCGCTCATTGAAATTAAGTGAGTAATACGGGTCGACCCGAATTAATCATGATATCAGATTACAATTAAAAAAAAAGTAACAAAAAAGGAAAAGGGAAAGTATCTGATGACCACAGATCCATAAAAGAATGCATTTATTTTAGTGCTTTAATAATTTATGTCTAATCTGTATTTTGCAGTAAAAATTTATGAAACTGAGACAGTTGAAATCCCAAAAAGACAGAAGGGAAAATATGAAAGGAAAAAATCTATAATTTTGCAACTCACAGGCGTGATATATAAAGACAAGCTTCCCTGTCTTTGACATGAGACAATTAGAGATCAAAGTTTGAGCCCTTCGGCTACCTGGTTTTCATGCACTGGCTCTAAGGCTGAAACGAATCATTCAATGTATTTATTCATGCACAAAAATCAAGTTAAAAAAAATCTTGTTGACGGGATAGATGGAGAGGTGGTTGTTGATCGAAGTGATTGTATCGTAAACGAACATAAAATTTCATGCAGTCCGTTCAATAACAAGTGTAACATGTGATCCGTTATAGACCCTAAAAGTTAGGGGCCCTACACGTAAATGTTATTTCGTTCAATAACAAGTGTAACATGTGATCCGTTATAGACCCTAAAAGTTAGGGGCCCTACACGTAAATGTTATTTATGCACGTGTATGTATAACATTTGTGTTCTAACAATATTTTTGTTCGAAGAATAAATAAATTTTCTTTTAATTATAGGGAAAATGGTAGAGAATGTTATAAACGAAGATTTTGTCAATATTTTTAATTGTTTTTTCATGAGGAATTTTGGTAAAAAAACATCGTATGTAGATCCCTCATAATTTTAAATTTAAGAAATTAATCTTTATTACAAAATATTTTAAGGGTCTCGTTTAAAAAGTAGTACATTGACTCTGCATCATTTGGAACAGGCCTGATTTTATGTTATGATTCAATTTATAAAGTGTTAAAGGTAAGATAAATGTATAAAACTTCGATGAATAAAAACATATCATCAATAAAAATTACAAAGAACAAATCTAAAATACAAAAAAAATATAAAAAATTTAGAGAGGCGAATGTTACCCATCCCCCTTTCAATCCTTTTAACGATTAATTAATTATTTTTTAATAAATTTCTTAAAAATTAGGGTAAAGTATATAAATGATCCTCCGACTATAAAATATTATTTTATTAAGTCACTCGACTATTAAAAGTTACAAAATGATCCTCTAGTTATAAAGTATTGATTTGTTGAGTTCCTCGACTATTAAAAGTTACAAAATAGTCACCCGACTATTCATTATGTTCCAAACTCGCCCTTTTCTGTTAAAAAGTTACTGATATTCTGAGTTGAACATTAACCTGCTGACTATGATAAGGTAAAATATGATCCTAGAATCTCAAACGGCTATCATATCTCAGTCATCATATTAACGTCCAACTTAGACACCCATAAATTTTTAATGAAAAAGAACGAGTTTGGAACATAATGAATAGTCGGGTGACCATTTTGTAACTTTTAATAGTCGATTGATTTAAAAAAGCAACATTCTATAGTCAGGGGATCATTTTATAATTTTTAATAGTCATGAGACTTAATAAAATAATACCCTATAATCGAAGACTATTTGTGTACTTTACCCTAAAAACTAATATCATTAGACATGAAATCTTATAATTATTCAATTTAAAAAGTTAGGACATAATTATAGGTTGTAGTGATGAGGTAAACAGATTCCACTACAAATGAAATAATATATGGGCAGTTTGCAGTTTGCATGCACCCAAAATGGAAATTGTACGCCAGCCAAAACTATTTGGAAACATAAAAACACAATAAATATTCAATGAACATAAAATTTACTTACATGCAAGCAGATAGGTCCCTCCATTGTACAATTTCTGACAACTTCATCCATCTACTTCTAGGTTTTCTCAACTAAAAGAATATATTCTTTAAGTACAGTTTTTTTTTTGTTTGTTTGCTGGTTAATCTCTACATCTTTATATATAGGCATCATATATATTAGGAAATTTAAATAATTCTCATTACCATCTTTATTTTATGATTTCAGCTCTTTCATTATTGTTAATATTCTTGGGATCAGAATTTATCGAGCAATCTTAGTGATAAAATAAAGTGTTATTCTCGATAAAGTTTTTGTATTTAAGCAGTTGAATTTGTAGAGTGTGTACATTATCGATAGACTAAGAAAATATATGAACAAATATTACTTTTTACTCATCTCAAACTTTTAAAATATTTTGGGTAAATTATTCGTTTAGTATTTGAACTATCGGTTTGGTCCATATTAGTACCTAAACTTTCAGTTTTTTAAAAATCGTGGATAAAGTTTAGTTTTTGTTTTAGTTTAGTACCCGCTGTTAAAAACTTTAGTTTTTATTTCATTTTAGTACCCCGTTCAAAATTTAACTTTAAGTTTTGAACAAATTGAAAGTTTAGGTACTAAAACAGACCAAAACTGATAGTTTAGGTACTAAACGCGTTAAGTCTTTATTGATAGGGTATTAAAATGAAATGAAAACTAAACGTTAGGTATGATTTTAAAAAAAATTGAAAGTTTAAGTTCTAAAAAGGACCAAAACTAACAAATTTAGGTACTAAATAAGTAGTTTACCCTTTAAAATATATAGACAATCACCTAGTTTTTGTATTATTCTTTGAAAGGGCTTTGTTTCTGGAGGTGTACCTAGAGTTGAAAACTGATCTCTTGAGGGATTATTCCAAAAAGCAAATGCAACATTTTTTTTCCAACCAAAATATAATAATAAAAGACATGATTTGGGTTTTTTTTTTTCCTCATGTTTCAAGACTTCGTCCTGACTAATTTAGATCGATTTGGATCGTACACTTAGTTTTAGTGGGTTGGTTTTTAAAATGCGAAAATTAATTATGAAATATATAATTTAAATATGTTTGGTGTGGAAATAAAAAAAAAGGGATATTCTTTTTGCATTGAAAATTTATTTATTTTGACAATGGAATTAGGTGTAGTTTCTCTTTGGGACAAATAGCTTCAAGCTTGGGTACCTACTCTATATATATATATATAAATAAGAGTTTACATTTTTATTAATTAATTCCTGCCTCTGCGGTTCCTAATTTAATTTTCACATAATTTAAATTAGTAAATGCTTGTGGGTGGTAGGTCAGAAGTTTAAATTAAATTTGTACACGGACAAGCACCATCAATTTCAAGATATAGTAGCCTGATAAAAAATTAATTGATTTTTAAGAAATCTTTAAAGATTTAGGTTACGTAGAGGTGTTCATAATTCGGTTAAAATTAAATTAGTTGAACGAATCAAAATTTCAATTGGTTAATCGGTTGGTTAATTTTGGGTTCGATCGGTTAAGAATTAATGATTTTTTTCATTCTTCGGTTTCGATTAATTCATGAATGTTACATTACGACAGATTTTCAATTTCACTTAAGCAATACTAAGATGTTCAATTTCACTCGTGAATGTTACATTATGACAGATTTTAATTAAAATTGTTAACTTACTCTAAAGAGATTCACACTTGATAAATTTTTCGATTATAATCGATTGTAGCTTTTTTTTAACTTTATTTTAATCGACTATATTTTAATATCTTCCGACTACTGGTGAGAACTTTTTCTGCTAAGTTGCATACTTGGATTATAGACAATATTAAAAGTGCCATAGATATTTAACTCGATGAGATGAATTTATAACATCCTAAATCTGACTCAATTCTCTACTTTAAACAAAAAAAAATAGCCGACCTTATTCCCATGTGTTATGGGATAAGGGGAGGTAGGATAGTAGGTTACCCCCAATACCAGGTTGAGAGTAGATTCCGTGGGAGACCTCTGGCAGTCAGAATTATAAATTGCCCACCGTGAGACTCAATCCCACGACCACAAGGTTAAGAGCCTTGCGCTCTACCAACTAAGTTGGACGGGCAATCTCTATACTTTAAACAAAGTGATATTATAAATCGAGATAGGTCTTGACATTTTCTTCAACACTAAAATAAAACTCTTCAACTCGAAGTATCAATATAAAGTAAATGCAGTTTGTTTTAAAGATTTTGAATTCGAACAGTTACTTTAACAAAGCATATATGTTGTCAATGATTAAAAATTATATAAACAAACATTGTCTTATACTTACTTAGACTATTACGAAAACAGAGATAAAAAAATAATTATTCTATACGGGTAATTGGAAAAAAATTATTGAATTAAATTTTAAATTTGCAAAAATAAAAACGCCGACTTGATTCAAATCGGAGAATTTGTCGGCGAGACGCAAGTATAGACCGAGTCAAATAAAAAGAGATGAGAGAGCACAACGCCAACATTAATTCGTAGATTCTGGCTACGGCCAACCCATGTCCTCCACTTTATGATAGTCTACATTTACAAAAGCTACTAACATATCATGCAAAATGAAGGGTAATGTACCCTACAAAGTTTCAAACTGTAGGATAAGGTGGAATTCGAAATTAGAGACGGGCACATAATTTTTTGTACCCACGTCTTCCATTTTATGATAGTCTACATTTACAGAAGCTACTAACGAAATGAAGGGTAATGTTCCCTACAAAGTTTCAAAGTGTAGGGTAAAGTGGAACTCGAAAATAGGAATGGACGCAGAATTTTATGTTGGGGGATAAACTTGAAGTATTAAAACTCTAGGAGAGCGAACTTGAAGTTATAAAATTATAGATGCGAAAATAAAATTTTAATAGAAAATACATAGAAAAAATCTAAAATATATAGTAATTTTAAATTTTTATGAGAGCGATCGTCCCCACCCGCCACTGCCTAGGTCCATCCCTGCTTGGAAGAGCCCTTTTTTCACTTAATATTATTCGACACAAAATTATAAAGGGTAAAGTACACAAATGGTCCCCCGACTATATAGTACTGCTTTATTAAGTCTCTCGACTATTTAAAGTTATAAAATGATTATTCGATTATAGAGTGTTATTTTGTTGAGTCCCTCGGCTTTCAAAAGTTACAAAACGGTCGTCCGACTATTTATTATGTTCTAAACTCGTCATTTTTCGTTAAAAAATGAGCGGTTGCCTAAGCAGGACGTTAACATGATGACTGAGATGTGATAGTCGTTTGAGATTCTAGGATCATATTTTATTATATCATAGTCGGCAAGTTAACGTTCAACTCAAAATACCATCAATTTTTTTAACGGAAAAGGACGAGTTTGGAATATAATGAATAATATGGTGGCCATTTTGTAACTTTTAATAGTCTAGATACTTAATAAAATAGTACCCTATAGTCAAGGTACCATTTGTGTACTTTAGCCAATAATTTAACATTGTCCCCTTACCAACCGTTGCACGTGGGTGATTAATCCTTTGACAACTACTCGCACACCCAATTTGACTTGGTTATGTGATCGGCTTTCTTTACCTCTCAAAATAACCCATGTCAAAATTAGTCCATATACCATATATCATCACATAAAACCATTCTAAATCTCTCAACACGAAGAAAGGGAGATTCTTCTTTTTTATGTCGTCTCGTTTTTTCTCTTCGATCCTTTATAAAAAAAATTACTGGCTCACAGTTGATCTATTATCGATCGCGACTCTCCGCTTGAATTATCAGCTCACAGCGTTACCACCCACTTTGTGAAAATCAGACAAAAAAATGCACGAGTGGGGGCACAAAAATCTTGAAGAATCTTACAAGATGCTTAAAGGGTCAGCCTCAGCCATTGGTGTAATGTTTAAGACATTAAGTGATGAGGCTTTAGGTTTTCCCAAACTCTCATGTGCTTTATTTTTTTTTGTCTTTTTTCTTCGTACAACTTCTTCTATGTCGTTTCTCTCCAAATCTTCCCCATGCAAATCACTCCAAACATGGATCAGCAGATTACAAAAATCTGGATTCTTATCTCGTTCGAATGATTAAATGGGTAAAATTGGGGTTAATTCTTGGGTTTCCTACTCTTATTCTTATACATCCTCAAATTTATTTTGAGCATTTTCTATGTAATAATAAAAATTCCCGCTAAAACATGAACCAAACGACCTCAGTAGTTAAAAGGATGGTTGTTATTCTTAAAAGTTTCGGGTTCAACCATCAACGACTATAGAGTATTTGAGCGTTATTTATTGTAAAATAGTTGAGCTTTTATAATTAGATGTACGTGCATTGTCAATAATAGACTAAGAAAATCTTGAACATATATTATCTTATAATCATCGAATAATATTCAATATATATAGGCATAAGGGTAACTTTTGCCCTTGTAGTAGACTCAATTTATGACTTTCACCCCTATTTTTTTTTTGCATCAATTTAGCCCTCGAAGTTTCTTAATTGCATCATTCTATAACATACTTCTAACTTAAAAGGGTTTATAATTTAAGGTTTTAAATTAGGGGTATGATATAGAATGATGTAATTAAACAACTTTGAGGACTAAATTGATGCGAAAATATGATAGAGATAAAAATGATAAATTGGGTCTTTTACATGAACAAAGGTTATCCTTAAAATACACACATGCATACATATGTACATACGTACATACGTACATACGTACATACGTACATAATACAATAATCAAGTTATTATTGTACCAAGCGTGATGTATATTATATCAAATGAGGTAGACATTTTGGCCAAGTAAAAAATGGATGTGTGGACAAATAGATATTGATGGTGATGTGACTAACAAAATCTTTTCCAGATTATATGTGTTCGGTTGGATTTTCTCTTTACCCATATGCAATTCACGATGCATGCATTTTGACCCCCAAACCATAATTTGCAAATCTTTAAATGTTAAATCATTAGGTAGCCATAAGAAACATTGACATCTTAACTAAAACCATATCCCAATATTCTACATGGAGAGAAACAAAATATAAGCGTAAACTATGCGGTTAGAATCTTAACTATCGTTTCGATCCATTTTAGTACCTAAACTTTTAATTTTTCAAAATCATACCTAACGTTTAGTTTTTTTTTCATTCTAGTATCACGCCGTTAAAAACCGACACTACATTTTTATGGGTAAATTAAACTATTCATTACTCAACTATCTTTTGACTCCTATTTTGGTACTAAAGTTTAAAAATTTTCAATTTAACTACTCAACTTTCAAATTGCTCCTATTTAGTTTATTAATAATTTTTGTGACATGAATTTTTTTATTATTTTATTAATATATATTTAAAAATGAAAAAGTAAATTTGAAAATTAAAGTGATTAAATTAGGAGTAATTTGAAAGTTAAATAATTAAATTCAAAGAAATTAAACTTTAGAGACCAAAATAGGAGTTAAAAGATAGTTGAGTGATGAATGATATAATTCACCCATAAAAAGGTGTCACGTTCAAATCACTTGTTAAGTTTTTAACGGTGAGATACTAAAACGAAACAAAAACTAAACATTAGGTATTGTTTCGAAATTTTTTTGAAAATTTATGTACTAAAACGGACCAAAACTAAAAATTTATGTACTAAATGTGTAAATTACCAACAAAATATAATAAAGCAATCAGAAATAGATTTAAAATATTATTTAGGATGAATACACATATATTAATAACATAAAAAATCAATAGATCATGGGCATTAATAAACTTTCAGAATAAATACAGTCACTAAAACAGATGACTAATTAAAAAAAATCGAATTTCAAGATAGGTACATGTTCGCCACCGAAAGCAAATAAATAATATACTATCAAACGGTACACTCTTTCAACAAAGCCTCAAACTGTACATTGATCAATCAAAGCATGTAGGAGGAAAATTTATCCAGACCAATATTTCATGTGATAAAAGAGCATCTTGCATGCCTTTGATATTGAAAGTAAAGAGGGAAATAAAAAAGGGCAACTTGCTAAATCATGCACAACCTTTTTTGTACATAAAAACGGAATAGATGCACACGATAATGACTGCAATGAACAATTGATCACCTAAGGAGATTAATTTTCTGGAAGGTTTTTTGTAAGTGTGGGTTATGTTTAAGGATGAACACTTGAGCTCAACGGAGAATGAGAATTGGGATCCACCCAGTTGTGGTGGATATGAAATTCGACCCCTAACACATTTCAAGTCCTCCATGCTCCATTCCTATCGCCAAGAACAACAAAATACAAGTTAAAAAGTGTGTTTTAAGCATGGTTCCGTTTTAATCACTCAACTATTGTTTAGGCATAATACAAAAATATCCCTTAATGTTTATTAAAATTATTATTTTGGTTATATTATTTTGAGATTTTAGCCCCCAGAGTTTCATTTTGGGGCAAACATGTCCCTCAATAGATGAAACCATTCGTTAACAAACAATTAGTGCTCCAAAATAGGGGTCTTTTTTAACATAAAATGAAACATTGAGGGTTAAAATGCTTCAAAAAAAAAAGAATAAGGGTCAAAGTGACTATTTTATTAGATGTTAGAGACTTTTTTGCCCTAAAATAAAATGTTAAGGGCCAAATGTTCCAAAAAATAGAATTAGGGACCAAAATGATCATTTTAATAAAAGTTGAGGGCTACTTTTGATATTATGACTTTTTAAAATCATACTTAAATTACGCTTTGGCTTTGTTTCGGTCACCCGCCGTTCAAAATGTAAACAAAACTACTGACGTGTCACCATAAGGTAATGTCACATAATCATTGAAAAAATAAAAAAATTGTCACGTTAGCAATTCTATTTTTTTAGTGACGGATGATCAAAAGGGAACGTTAGACAAGCTTTAAAAAAATAGTTAGACAATCAAAACGAAACCACGAGAATAGATGGGTGACTAAATAAATAATGACTTAATACCAAAATTAGCCCCCCAACATTTATTAGAATGATCGTTTTGATCATTATTCTTTTTTTTGAGCATTTTGGCCACTAAAGTCTCATTTTAGGACAAAAAGGTCCCTAACGTTTGACTAAATAGTCATTTTGACTCTTATTCTTTTATTTTTGGAGTATTTTGACCCGCCAATGTTTTATTTTAAGGTAAAAAAATCTCTATTTTAGATAACTAACCATTTTTTAACTAATGGTTTCCATCCATAAAGGAATTCTTTTTGCCCCAAAATGGAACATTAGGGGCTAAAGTGCTAAAAAAGAATATAGACCAAAATGATAGTTTTAAAAAACATAGGGGCTATTTTTTTGATATAATGCAAAAAAATATCCCCCAATTTTTGCTAAAATAATCATTTTGACCTTTATTCTTTTTTTTTGGAACATTTTAACCCCTAATGTTTCACTTTAGGGCAAAAGGCTTTATCTATAATTGAAAATCATTAGTTAACACATTTTTAACCTAAAATTAAACGTTGAGGGCTAAAATGCCCAAGAAAAAATAATAAGGGACAATATGATTATTTTGTCAAATGTTAGGGGCTTTTTTGTCTTAAAATGAAACGTTTGAGGCCTAAATACTAAAAAAAAAAGAATATGAGATAAAATAACTATTTTAATAATCGTTGGAAGTTAATTTTGATATTATACCTTTCTGTATCGTGTCATACGCAATTTACCCATTTAATTTATTGGGTCGTGATATATAGAAATTTACTTGCCTCGAGTAGTTGTCCAAAGGTGACAATAATGGTGTCTGGATCAGCATCGAAAGCTAAGAGACGATGCCCATATTTGGCTGAAAATTGGCAGTGCTTGGTCGGCAAGTGAAGGCTCAACGTATAATCACAACAATGTTGGTTTTCTTCATCTTCATCTTCATCTTCATCTCCTCCGATCTGATCTTGGTCGGCCGACTTATCACCGGCATTGTTATTGTACTTGTATATGCTCAAATGGGACACTCTTTTTGGCACTCCCTTCTTTCCTCCCTTACCTGCGTTTTCTACCAAAATCTTCCCCAATTCTTCTGCAACTTCCTCAAGTTTACTTGCCACTTTCTCTATCTTTTCACTATTTCACACCAAAGCACAATTCATTATATATATATATATATATATATATATATATATATATATATATATATATATGCAATAATCATACTAAATAATGATTATGTTGTCATGCATGTAAAGTTTCAATAGAATATCAGTTTAAACTTAAAAGGCTATTCTTTAGAAGATCAACCCCTTGTAATTATGAGATTTTCTTTTTATAATTTGGGTTATTTTGATATTTTATAAAACAAAAAATAAAAAGAAATACTTGATCAATATAAAAAGAATGATTGTTATCCCTAAAGGTTTCGAGTTCGAGCATCAAAGACTACATGATATTTGAGTGTTAATTATCAAATGGTTGGAAGTTTCTAAATCAGATTCTATTACTTATAATCACTCTAAATTAATAAAAAAAGATTAATACATAATAAGCAAGTTAATTTAAAAAACTAGATAGCAATAAATCTTAATATTAAACATAAAATTTTATCCAACATAAATACGAGAATTTTGATTTAATATATTTATATAATTTAGTTTTCAAGTTTGATTCGATTTTCACGTGATTTTAATATTATTAACTACATGACATTCTTTCATATTTATTTAGAGTTCTTGGCACCATACATCCTCAAATTATCATTTTCATTTTACATTGGTTCCTAAATTTTTGAATATTCCAATATCATCCTTAAATTATGACTAGTATTTTAAATTGAGCCTCAAAGTATTAAACATTTCAAATTCACCCCAAACTATGATCCTCATTCTAAATTAATCCCAAAACGTTTAAATGTTCCTCTAAAGCATTCAAAAGTTTGGGGATGAAATTCAAACATTCAAAAGTTTGGGGACTAATATAGAACGAGGATCATAATTTGGAGAAGAATTTAAAATGTTTAAAATTTTGGGACCAATTTAGAATGAATGTGTCATAGTTGGAGGATGGATTTAGAATATTCAAAAGTTTGTGGACTAATATAGAATGAGGATCATAAATGTTCCCCTAAATCATTCGAAAGTTTGGGGGATGAAATTAAAACATTCAAAATTTTGGGGGACCAATGTCAAATGAGGATTATAATTTAGAGATGAATTTCAAATGTTCAAAAGTTTGGAACAAGTTTAGAATGAAAGTAATATCTGGAGGATGAATTTAAAATATTTAAAAGTTTGAAAATAAATTTAAAATGAATTTCACAATTTGAGGATGTATAGTGCAATTAACTCATAGTTTATTCCATTAAAAATAATTATATTTACATAACATGAAGATTTTTAGATTGGTTTTTCAATTATATCAAATAAATAATAAAAGAAAGGTATAATTTAAATCTATTCACTTTATTACAATTGAATCAATATCAAAGTTATATACAGACACCAAACTAACTTGATTTAAAGGATTAATACAAAACCAAATGTCTAAATTATATTTAAAATTAAATTTTGATGCTTAAATAATTTTTTTGAATATAAATCTTAATATTTTTTACGTTATACTTTTAAATGTCTACCGTTATAAAAATTGATAAATAACATGTATCATATTTATATTTTTTGTTCTTTTAAATAAAATATTATTTAAAAATAATTTTTTAAAAAATCTGAACGTGCCCAATTTCACTTAACGATTTTTTAACTGTAGATACCTAAAAGTGTAACCACGAAAACATTAGACACCTATTTTCAATAAAAAAAATATAGACACTAAATATTAATTTTAAATATAATTTAAACACTTATTTTTATATTAAATCTAACTTAAATTGTTAGCAAAATTTCAATTCTAACCCAACATAATGAGCCCAAAAGGCCCAATCAAATAAATGGCATAATTCAAAACAAAATATATTATTTCCCTGTAGAAGATGGCGGGAGGGGTACCTGAAAGTGGAATACAAATGAGCGCCGACGTATTGACGAGCCCACTCCATCCGCTCTTCTTTGCACCCCACCCACACGATCTCGTCCCTCTTTCCCCCCGAATCCCTAATCAATCCCGTATCCCTCTCCTCCAGCACCTCGAACACCTTCGCCGCCTCTTCCTTCGTCTCTCTCACCTCCTCCGTCTCGATCCCGTGCTGCCATATCACCACCGCGCCGAAATTCCTCGCCGATCTCAGGAACCTCTCCAACGAACCTCTATCTCTCGAAACTAGCGATCGGAAGTCGATCTTATCGGAGAGGCCGAGGTGGCGGAGCGCCTGCGTCTCCGGTAAGGTTAGATCGGGAATCTGCAAGGATTTCTCGAGGAAATCGGTTAATATCTCGTTGGCGGCGGATCGCGAGCCGGTGGCGGTGGGGATCGGAGACGGAGGCGGCGCCTTGATGTTGAGTTTACTCATTGATCGCATTACAGCCATAGGAACGTGGTGGATGAACAAAAGGAAGAGGAAGGTATGTATTTGTTATGAAAAAAAGAAGAGTACGAAGCAAGTCATTTGGGTGTAAAAGGTGTGGTTGTTTGTTTCAGTGCAAGTGGGGGCCCACTTCACCCGATGATCTTTCCCACTCTTTCTTTTTCTTCTCCTTTTGACACGTGTTCTTTTTTACTTCAAATGGTTGTCTGAAATGAATGAGGTTCCGCCACGTCATTGAGGACCCTGCTTTTCTTCGGGCCCATTATTAGTTGTGATGATTTGTCGTCCGATGGTTATATTTAAAATGAAAAAATAGTAATAAACAGAAAAAGGGTTTAAAAAACAAAAAAAAAATTTATTAATAGAAATTAAGTGTTATGAATAAAATATTAATGTTTTTTAGAAAAATGAAACTTTCATCAAAATAACGTCGTTTTATATATATATAATAACAAATTTATAATGTTGTTAGTGAGAAAATGACGGATTGACTAAAAACCCAAATCTATTAAGTTCAGTGAGAAAATTGAAAAGATTTAAAGTACAGTGAGTGAAATAGGAGAGAGAGTAAAGTTTAGTGATGAATGATGTAATTTACCCTCAATAATATGAATTTTTTTAAAAAAAATTGGGGTTAAAAGAAAAAAGATTTCAGATATATGGTTTATTATTTTGAGTGAAAATCGATAGCAAAAATAAGTGTTTATTTCAGAGTTTAGATTGATTAATATATATGTTTTATGTATCTGGTTAGAGATCTATATACATGCATGCAGGCATGCATACATACAAAGTTCAGACTAAGCAATATATAGTGATGCATACATACATTTTCCCAGTCCATAAATATAGTGATGCATGCATGCATACATACATACATGCATACATGCATACATACATACATACATGCATACATGCATACATACATACATACATACATGCATACATACATGCATACATGCATACATGCATCCATGCATACATGCATCCATGCATACATGCATACATGCATACATGCATACATGCATACATGCATACATGCATACATACATTTCCCAATCCATAAATACATTGATTCATGCATGCATCATGCATACATACATTTCCCAATCCATAAATATAGTGATGCGTGCATGCATGCATACATGCATACATACATTTCCCAATCAATATATTGATGCATGCATACACATACATTTCCCAATTCATAAATAAAGTGATGCATGCATGCATACATTAGTCCTACATTCATAAAGTTTTCTCAATCCGTGAATATGGTGATGTTTTAGGGAATACTTGGTTCATAGTCTTGAACATGTATGCAACCTAGCATTATTTACTACACCAAACCAGATGGAGGATTCAGAATTTGTCATCCTCACTACTGAAAGAAACTACCATATTAACAGAGAGATTAAGGGGATGGGATCTTCACCGCCTAAAACTCCCCCGAAATCTCTGTCATGATCGAAAAATCCTTCCGTTTATGCCGTCTTCGAGATACTCCTTGTGCGAAACCTCTCCCAGATCCTGATATCCGATGTTCTCCACTGCTCCGATCGTCTTAAATAGGCATCTCTTGTCTATCTCTGCCATTACTGATTGGTGCAGCAATTTGCTGCGAATGTCCACGAGCAAACGGATCTTCGTTAGCTTCGGCTGGCCATTGAAATGGGAAGATTGCCATGAATCGAGTCGTGCGGCGCGCTGTTTGTAGCAGTAAGCACTCGTGCTATCCGACGGACAAAATCGTGTAGATTTGAGGGTGTTCGGAATGCAGGGGTGCTCCCCTTGATGGAGACTCGAATCGAAGTCGTCCTCGTAATTCATGCTGGAGTACTGGAACGATTCCATAGAGCAATTGGAACTTGCATCGTCATTGCTGAATATGTCTACAAAAATGAACAAATCTTGCAAAATGGCCAGACAGAAAAGAAGACTGGTATATATACATACATACATACATGTTATATTACAAGTACCTTGGGACCAATTGCACTTGGAAATGAAATTTTTCCCATGAGAAAATTGTGCGTCATAGGAAGAATGGGAGGAGGTAGCATAGAAAGGATTGTGGATTTCACTTTGGTCATCGTCGTCGTCGTCATCGTCGTCGTACTTAGGGCTGTGCTGATGGTGAAATTGAGAGGTGCCTAGGTCCTTCCAAGTCGGGACGAGGGAAGATATTTCCTCTTCTATCATATCAGCAATCTCCAATGGCTCCCAGTCATCGATATATAATTCCTTTACCATCTCCAACGCGACATCAATCGCAGTGTCGTTTACTATGTCGAAGGGAAAATAAATGTTCCGAGCATGACCTGTAATAAGGGAAACCATTGATTAAGAATCTTGTAGCTAAACTTCTTCAGTATGTATGCAATAGTACCTTCCTTGTCTGTAATCTGCACTTTGAGAAAAATTGTGTCATCTTCGGGATCCCTTGTGCCGGTTATCGACATATCAGTACTCCTTGTTGGATCAACCTTTAAAGAAGGCGCTAGCTCCGCGACTGGGCCTTTATGAGTTAGTTTTTGGCTCGAGACTCTCGGGATGGACTTCAGATTGTCTTCATCAGAGGCCAAAAACGGATCAAGCAAGAGTTCACGAGCAGGCAACCTCTTGGAAACATTCTCCAGGCACTTTCCGATAAACCTCCGGGCTTCCTCATCTTGGATCCTATAGAATGCCTCTGGCTTCTTTCCCTGGAGAGTTAATGAATACAGAAAGAATGTCTTAGATTAATCTGGCAGTGTATTGTTGAAATCAACGAAGCTGAATATAACTCACCGAAGTCACTTTCTTGTAGATTTGAGCCGGATTGGAGCACTCACTATACGGATATTCGGAAGTAAGCATCTCTAAGACACACATGCCAAAGGAGTATATATCTACCAGCTCATTGTAGTCTTCTTCATATAGCTCTGGTGCCATAAATTCCGGTGTTCCTAGTAGCGAATGCAAGTTCGAAGAAATTAACATATAAACATACACACGGCTACCCGGAAATGAGACAGAGGATGGAAATTCAGAGCATACCTATGACACTATGAGCATGTTGTGACCCACGAAGAATGGCAGCCAGTCCGAGATCGCCGATCTTGACTTGTCCAAGGTGGCCATTGACAAAGATATTATCACACTTAAGATCTCTATGGATCACTGGAGGGTCATGGCCATGCAGATGAGCTAGACCCTGCAGAATTTGGCGAGCCCAGCTCTTAACTGCTCGCATGTCGACACGCTGGTACCTCTGTCTATACCTGTAACATATCAAACAACATATAAAAACTTGCACTAAAACAGCACTAATTTGTGTTTTTCGATCGATAGTGAAGTCTCATAATATGGTTACTCTCGAAGTGTGCCGGAGGTGAACATCTCGGTGATGAAATTGAACGTTCTACGATCGACATCGACCCAAGTAGCGTAGAATCTGATGATTGAATCATGGCTGAGATTCTTGAGGAGGTGAACCTCGGAATAAAGCCTCTGCAATTCGTCATGTGAACGGAAGACATAGTTCAGCTTCACTTGATTCCATGCCACCTCCATTCCTAGGGCCTCATCAAATGCCCTGTACACTGTCTTCATAGCTCCTTTACCAAGAATCTCTCTAAACTGCAGAAAGAATTCCCACAAACAGTTCATATAACTTCATTTACACGTATGCTTCACTACTTCGATATGATCATCAAAAACAATTTCCCAGATTTTCCAGGAAAATTGCAAGAATTTCAACATATCCTCAACATCAAATAATCAGAACCCCACATCTCAAAAGGAATTGTCACTGGAAAAGAAAAGTCAAACATGTCATGCAAATTCTCCATTGTCATTGCAAAAGATCAAAGATTTTGTTCCTACTGAAAATATTGAGTCCATGCATCAATCAAAAGGCAAAAAGCATGCAGTGTGAATGAAGAAGAAAGCTTACTCGACCGTACCGACCGGATGGATCGGTTTCAACGTATCCAAACTGAGATTTAACTCCATCAACACATCCAACTAGACGTGTTTTTTTCATGGTCTGAGAAATCAGGCGTGCTTATTGTAATATATATATATTGAGAACACAAATAGTACACTTATGTAGCCTACTGGAATACAAAACTAAGAACAACGAAGCAGATAAAAGAAAGCAAATTTTGAAGATGTGCTAGATGATCCGAGGCTTCCCTTCATGATTTTCGTAGGAAAAAACACCAAACAATAACCAAAACAGCCTAGAGTAATCCACACTCAGCATAATCCAAGCCATTTCCACAACTGAACGTAAGAACAAGTAGTAGTCCTTGGAAACCATTTGTCTTCTTTCCAGAGATAAGCACAAGATTCAAGACTATCTATAAGACAAAAACAAAATAACCCAAAGCTAAAAAAACAAGCTTGTGGGTAGATATAGGGGGGAAAAGAGAGAATATAATTAAAGAAAAAGGCTTTTGATATGAAACCCTGGTTTTCTGGGGATTGAAACAACAAAGATTCTAAAACTTGGAAGGATTTTGGCAACTGGGAATTTGAATTCGGCAAGAAATTAGAACTCTGAACTTGAAAAACCTATGGCTATGCTTTGACATCACCATTTGTACCAATCCCGAGGATATGGATTTGAGGTTCGGATGAAATTGAAGATGAGAAAAGAGTGGGAATCTTTTGGAGTTGCAGATGAACAAGGAAACAACAATGGCGATGAAGGGAATGGTTGGTGGCGAAACTCAAAAGTATACAAGGAAGAAGATGACTGATGAGAGTTTGTATTTGGTGAGGTCCACTCTTCGACCAATTAACAAAGTTGAGCTGACGCCATTTGACAAAGTCTAATTAATGACATCGATTTAATTATGTTTATTTTAAAATTAAGGATAAAGAAAGCAAATGTTCCCTGCTATAGAGTACTACATTATTAACTTTTTAGGCTACTAAAAACTATAAAATGTTCACTTGATTATTAATTATGTCTCAGAGTCATATTTTTTTGTTAAAAAATTAGTTGTTTAAGTTGGAAGTTAACATGATGATTGAGATATAATAGTTGTTTAAGATTTTGAGATCAAATTTTATTATCTCAAAGTTAACAAGTTAATGTTGAGCTCAGAATATCATTAATTTTTTTAACGAAAAAATAAGAATTTAGAACATAATGAATTGTTGAGTGATCATTTTGTAACCTTTAATAGTTTAAGTACTCAACAAAGTAACATTCTATAGTCGAATGACTAATTTGTAACTTTTAATAATTGATAAACTTAATAAAGTAGTATCCTATAGTCGAGAGACTATTTACCTTCTTTACACTATAAAATTAAAAGAGCAAGTCGGGATTTAGTTTTTTAAAAAGAAAACAGAGGATAATTACTAATATGATCACTAAATTATAAGTGTTTTTTTAATTTAATTATTAAATTAAAAATTTTATCAATCAAATTGTTTAATTATTAAAATAATATCAATTAAGTTATCGATAATAATTATGATATAATAGGTGTTTTTAACGTTATCTAACTAGGGAAAGAGGATGATGAATTTTGTTCCTAATATGTATTAAATCCATAATCTAAAAGATAGAAGAGGTGTCAACATTGTAAAAGTCAAAAATTTTTAAACTTAATCATGATTATTTTTTTATTTTTAGATTTTGATATTTGTATTAATAATAATTTTAAATAATAGTACGTCGAAGTTAAAAATATTGACAGAAAAACTAACAATAGACAAATTTAACGAGATAAAAGAAATATTATTTTAGAATCGCTCCATTACGAAGAGAAAATGAAAGGGTATATCTGAACATCAACGATCAGTTGGTTTAGTGGAATGATGTACTATAATTCTTAAGCATGGTTAGAGATTCGAACCCTGGCATTTGCAAAGTCGAGATGAATAATTTTCCTTTTTTTTTTTTTTGTTTCTTCGATTATTTTTGTTGTTTATCGTTTGGTGTTATTGATGATTGTGGTTACGGACGATGACCAAATAGGATTGGTGATGGTCTGATCATGGATGATAGTTGTAGCCTGTGGTTATGATGTTTGGAACTTAGATTAAATGATGGTAATAATATGTTCGACGATCGTGGGAAGCTGACGAAACTCTTTAATATGGCAGTTGTTGCATTTAAGGAGGACGATGATTGAAATAACGTTGGACGGTAATGGACGGTAATGGTGCATGCTAAAGGAGGCCATCGATTGTTAATTAGTACGAAAAACGTAGAGCTTTTGGGAGATAATGTGACTTTAATATGCCACATCAATATTTTTCTTTTGGTTTAATCATTAGTAAATGATCTATTCAGCGACTGTTTTAGATCAGATTTTGCAAAAGGTTCATTACGAGGACGACCCTCCCAACCCAATTTACTCCATTCACAAATGTTAAGATTCAAACTCCCGAACTTACTTAAGAGATCTAGTGCGTCATCTCATTAGACCAACTTGTTGGTACCGTAACGAGATAAATTTAAAATTTTAATAACTAAAACACAAACTCTTTAAAATTTCAATGTCTATTTGTGAAAATTACCCATCGTGTAAATATATAATTTATTTGCACGCCGCTGCTTGCAATATATAATTAATTAACGACAGAAGCAATAGGATGAAAAATAAATGAAGTAGCTTGATCAATGATGACAGAACAATGGTTGACATTCATATAAGTGGTCCACAGTGGCATGGCAGGAAACATTCACAATATTTATCATCATAATCAAGTCTTAATTAATTAATTAATTAATTAATTACTCTCTAGATACATGCCATTAAGCCCCGTGAAAATAATATAGGGGCACTTAAACAAAATAATAATAATAATATAGGGTATATATATTTTCTATCTTTGATTATAATAAAATATGGATAGGGGAATCAACGAGTAAAGGTAAATACATGGTTGCACGAATTAAGTGATCTCTATGATAAAAGAATTGTTGTTATTTATTGAAGATCTGGGTTCAAACACCGTATATGTCAAGGGTGGGAGTATTTAATATCGAAAGGTTAAAAGTTTATCTTTAAATAGATGTTACCTTATACTTATCCATATTAATAAAAATAGTAAATAGATTGGTTCGATTATTTATATAGTTTAACTAATTTTTTTATATAATATTTGAACATAAATATAATTTTTTATGGGGAGAAGTTATATTGGGCCTAGGGGTTCCAGTCCATGTAAAATTTTTATACATTTGATAAATTTTGGTTTAACATTATTTTAGTTCATATAAAAATAAGTATTCAAGTTAAAAATTATAATAATTTATTAAATATTTAATTAAGTAAGGGTCAAACTAAAGAAGGATAATCTAATCTTCTTCAGATTTTTGGTCTAATAACGATTTAGGTCATTGTAAGTTTAAATATTAAACAAATTAAACATTGTCTTCTTAATTTTGAGTTTCAATACAACAATTGTATTTTCCTTAAAAACTAGGGTAAATTACATATTTAGTACTTAAGCTATCAATTTTGGTCCATTTTAATACCTAAACTTTTCAATTTTTTAAATGGTACCTATAATTTAGTTATTGTTTCATTTTAGTACTCCCGTTAAAAACTTAACGTTAAATTTTAAAGAAATTGAAAGTTTAGATACTAAAACAAACAAAAAACTGATAGTTTAGGTATTAAACGTGTAAAGTTTTTAATGGTTGGTACTAAAACGAAACAAAAATTAAAAGTTATGCATAATTTTACAAAAAATTTAAAGTTTATATACTAAAACGAAACAAAACTAATAGTTTAAATATTAAATACATAATTTATCTAAAAATCAAATATTTTGACCCTCCCAATATTTAATCCTGATTTAGTCCCTACTTTTTACTGTTATAATCGATTTAACATTGACTAATCCGGTTAGTTATAAAAGATAACATAGGATAGTAATTGAAACACAAGGTAAAAGAAATAACATAATACAACAAAAATATCGTAATATATTTTTTATGCTGCTTGTTATATTATGATTTTTAATTAAATGAATTGTTTTAAAATATTATAATGACACGTGTTATAATAAGATTTTTAAATGAATCTGAAATTAAAATTAAATCATAAAAATAATGTAAAATATGGAGTGAATTAGACCTAATATAGAAAATAGTTAAAACATAATTTAAAAATAACTTAAAATGACATAATTATATAAAGATATAAAAAATTATATTCAAAATTACAATCATAATGTCTCAATATCGGTCAACGAGTGTTGGTACAAATGATTAATATTTAAGAATTTGTATTTGTAAGACTAAGTTTGAATTCTACTACCGTGACTCTTGGTGGACAATATGTAAATTCATATGTAAATGTCAACTGGGTTTTAGGTATGCTCTGACCCTAGATTGAGAGTCACCCTTAACCTAAAGTTTTTTTAATATAAAAAAATCCCAATATAGACAAAATTAGAGAAATAATATAGGCATTTTTTTTAGAAATAGAAGTTCTTGGCAATTATTTTATGATTAAGACCATTTGCTGTCGTGTACGTGGAACTCGTCATATGAAAATAACGAATTTCATCAAATATATTAAAAAAATTAAAACTCGTCACGTGAGAATGACGAATTTTATATAATTTTATTTTATATCATATGATGAGTTTTAATTTTCTAAATATTTAACGTGATGAATTTTATAAATACTATGATAAATAATTTAAATCCCAAAATAAATTTAAAAATATCTTATTTTATTAATTAATTATTCCGCCTGGTTTATTTACCTAATTTTGCCCCAATATCTGCCACAACTGTATTGTGGAGGGGTTGACCAAGCGTATTCCTATTAGGTGTCATTTACGGATGTAATAGTATTTTTCTTTTAGAATTTTACTTAAAAAAATAGAATTTATTATTAATAATATACAGTGGAGAATGAAAATGATTGGAAATTTGCCCTTTGCCCTTTCGCATTTACTTCATATACATCAACCACAATATATATATATTTTTCATCGAATACTTTAAAATATAATTAATATCAGTATAACATGTGAATAAAAAATGATATAAAATATGAATTAAGTAGTCTATGTGATAATAAAA